AGTATGTCTCCCCAGAGGACATCCCACTCCAAAGTGTTTGAGGCACACGCACACTGCAGCTGAGCAGTGTGATCCTGAGTTTCGTAATTAATTCCCACGTAGCACAGTGGGACTTTCTCCTAAGGAGGTGGGCATAGGATGCCACCTTGATGATTAATCAGGCCCCTTTGGAGGCACACACACGTATGCACGCAAATACGATCTGCAATGTGGAAAGTGAAGTGGGAGGGAGGGATTCACTGCTGGGTTTTTAACTCTTTCTGCCCTTTAGAAAACATCAGCTGCCTGGAGAAAAGTTTGTCAGAATTGTTGAAGGACAGGAAGGAAGCTGGATTTTGTGCACGGACATGCGGGAAGGCAGAAGACTTGAGTGGTGGTGAGGAAAGGCAGCCAACCACCTGCTGGGTGGATGGCTGCCGAACGCTGGTGATGACAAATGCTGGTAACGTGCAGCGACAAGTGAAGAACAGGGTCAAGGTGGGAGTGAATGGGATGGCTGAATAGATATTCAAGACCAGGGCATTCAAGGTTTATTTCTCCTTAATCCCTTGCAGAACCCATTCAGGTTCTTGTGGAACCCGTGAGTTCTGTGGAACGCAGTTTGAAAACCCCCAGCCTAGATTACCAGTCTTACTTGTACCCCATGAAATATACCCGCTAATATTAAGAGCAGTACTGGGCACATTTTGGTCAGTATGCCACATACACAATCAAAGCCTACTCTTACCCCAAGCATGCTTACAGTATTCTATGCAAGTTGGGATCGATAATCCAGAGCAGTGTTTCTCAACCTTGGGAACTTTAAGATGTGTGGACTTCAACTCCCACAATTCTCCAGCATGGCTGGCTGGGGAATTGTGGGAATTGAATTTTTTACATCTTAAAGTTCTCAAGGTGGAGAAACGCTGCTCTAGAGTGTACCCCACAAGCCAGCATACTGTTACATGCATCGCACCCAAGAGGAGCAATATGCACTATGCTGTCAAACACTCAAGCTGCCTTCTTAATCCTTAGGATTTACATTTCTCTCTTTTTTCAAGACCGTCTCCTTTCAAGTTCACCCTTTTAAGCCAGATAGTGGGTTTGGACAATATTATTGACATATTTCCAGGAGCTGAGCTTGACTCAAAGCAGTCTTTACCTTTCCAGCACAAGGAATGACAATGTTGTGAAGTCAGAACTGTAACTTAGTGGGCTGACCTTCTGAAAGCATAGTGATGTCACTAGAAGGGACAGAGCCATGGGGGGAGGTGGGGGCTCTTTTTTGGCTTTGGGTGGGATGGGATTGGGAGGCCTTTCAAAGACAAACTCCTCCCCTTCCCTGCTCTTAAACCACACATATATGCACATGCACGCATATATAAAAGGTCCAAATCTCACCACAGCAGATGGCCATTGTGCTACTGAATTTCACTGTGCAGCATCCCTCGGCATAAAGAGAGCATGCAAATGAGTTGTTGGGCCCTGTGTGCAGCTCTGGCTTGCTGACCTCTGTTCATGGTGAGAAGAGAAGGGAATGAATCTCCCACAGAGAGGTGTGAACCCTGTTCCTTTATTTCTATACAGTAGATATTTGCACCTTCCCATATAGTGCATATTCAAGACACTTCTCTGCAAATCTACAGCTCCAAACCTGATCTCTTTCTCTCTCTCTCTCTCTCTCTCCATATGTACACCTTCTCATCAAAGGCCAGTTTACATTTAATAAAACCAATAAAACCATACACTAAAATGAAACAGCATCTGTTAATAATGTCAGAGAATTATATCTCAGAAAGATTCAGAGCAGCTCCCCCAATTACACGGAACGCTTTGCTTCAAAAATTCTACAGCAAAGAACCATCTTGGCAGCTTTCCAAAGTATCAACAAGGATTGGGGCAACCTGATTTTGGGGTGGGGTGGGGAATTAACTGCTCCTGAGTAAGAAGGACATGCCCAAGAAGACGTGTCTCCAGACCTCCTCCCTCTTGAGAATTTGCCCTCTGAAGCAGCGGATACTGGATGGGGAGATTCAGCTTGGAGCAGATGGTCTGGCAAACAGTGAGGACCGTAAAGGGAATATAAGTAATGACCAGCAACTTTAATTGGACCTGGAAGCCAATATAGATGTTATCCTGCTGTGATAGTTCTGACCATCAGCAAGCAGACAGCTGCATTTTGCACCAGCTGCAGCTTCTGAAAAATCCTGAAGGGCAGCACCAAGTAAAGTGGATTGGAATACTTCAGATGCAACATTATAAGAGCATGAGTCACTGTTGTCAGAACTTGATCCAGGAAAGATCACATCTGGAGTGGAGAGATAGATATCTCAGCCAGGAGTCCAATACATATCTGAATCACTATGATCAATCACTAGTATAAATAGATTGATTGCTTTAATAATCTTGCTCACCTAGTGAATAGTTTCTTTTATAGGGCCACTGGCCATTGCTTTAGTTCACTTTCTTTTCAGGACCCTTATCTGTAACTATAAATACTAGAATAATCTTATTTATTTATTTGATTCAATTTATATGGCTGCCCATCCCAAAGGAATTGGCAAAAAGCCAAAATTACCTCAAAGCAACATAAGACTGCAAGGACAAACAAGGTAAAAAGCCAGTGGACAATACTCAAAATCACAACCACCCAGGCTCCAACTAAATACCTGACCTCTCCAGTTTTCCCACCAGATGTCATCCACAAGCATGATCAATGCTGATTCGGTTTCATACCCAGACCTGAAACCAGACTGAAAGGGGCCCAGTTAATCTGTTTCCTCCAGGTTTCTCTGAAATTGCAGTGTGACCACCTTCTCTACTTTCTCTAAAAAGAGAAGGTTGGAGACAGGACGAAAGTTGTCCAAATGGTTAGGTCCAACAGTGGCTTCTTCAGGAGGAAAATCAGTGCTTCTTTGATGGATGGCAAAACTACCCCCTCCTCAAGGATGAATCCACCACCACCAGGACCCAACCACATGTTGTCTCCCAGAAAGCTATCACTAACCAGGAGGAACATGGATCTAAAACACAGGTGGCTGAACTCACAGTTCCAAGAACCCTGTCTGCTTCACCAGGACTAACAGGTTCAAACTCATCTCAGATAACCAAGCCAGATTGGGCCTCAGTCATCTTCCTGGGACCTGCCTCAGGACTGGAGTACAGCTTGGAGTGAATCTGAGCAACTTTATCCAACAGATGTCTAGAATATTCCTCTCAGTGGCCCTGCAGGTGAAACTTGGTTCCACCTTCCCAAGGAAGACCCAGATATCTCTAAACAGGGTCACTGAATGACTATCTATGGACATAATAAGAGAAATACTGCCCTTACTGCCACAAGGTAGGCCTTAATAGCAGCTCTAGGTTGTGCTTGGCTGAGTTCACCCCTTGTTGTCCTCCAGTGACAGACCTCTCTTCTCCTATTTCATCTTCCACAGCTCCTTTGTAAGCTGAGGGAAGCCCCAGCATCCACAGGAGGAGAGAGGCAGCATAGTGCAATCAGATCCAAGGCCTCACCTGCCCTCTCATTCCAAGTGGTGATGACGGCCTTGGTTGGTCTGTGCATCAGACCTTCAGGAACAACCCCAAGCTCCTTCTGGAAATCCTCCTTAGGCATCTGGGATGGAAATCAGAAAGTGACCTGACTATGACATGGGAATGATGGTGATCTCCCCCAATTCCAGAGGCTGCTGCCAGTGCCCGAACAAGGAAAACAGATCAGGTGTGTGACCACTGTTACGTGATGGGCCCTCAGGAACCTGGGTCAGGTCCATGGCTGTCATGGTGACCATGAAATTCTGAGCTACAATACCTCAGACTCCACCTCCCAGAGAAGGCAGATCAAATTACTTCAAACAATAGAAATTAAGAAATTCTGAGAAATTCTACTGCCAGTCTGGCCATGGAACCAAGTTACTCAGGCAGGGAGATTGCTATGCAGCAGAGAGGCCGGTACAGCAGCAACAACCCCAACAGCTTAAGAAACAGGGTCTCATTACCAGTTATCTGTGGGTCAGTGTCTTTGAATACCAGTGGTATATCCCAAATAGCTGCTCCACCCAAGTTCCTGCCTGATGCTGTACCCAAAACCAAGATAGGCACATCTCTGAAAGGGGAAACCCCAATCTCCATGACCATCCAGATCCCATTAATGCACTCCAGGTCAGTCCTCTCATCTGTGATTTAATCACAGATTAAGATGAGGGAGGCGTTATTATAGACTAATTTTATTTTGATAAAAGCTAATTTCCAAGCAAATGTCAATGCTCTTTTATTCAGGGTGGACCCAATCTTCATATCCTCACGCTGACACCAGATTTCACATAAAGAAAAAAACCAACTGAATGTGGAACTTCCTCCTGAAGTGAAATATCATAACGAGGATGGTAAA